AAAATATTATTCTATACGCTAGGTAATTATCTTTGGTGCGAGCCAGTAACGCCATCTCCTGGATTTTTCATTTGAATAGCGGTGGTGTCAAAACGTCTGCATCATAGTAAAGCCAACAGAAATGAATGTTTTTTATTTGTAAATTTAAAATAAAATACAAATTTTAGAGCTAGCAAAATGGTTGTTATTGTAAAATCAGATATTAAAAAAGTAGAAACCTACGTTTTTCGTAAAAAAAGTCTCTCAAAAGATCATGAACTTGTTGAAAGTTTTCATGTTAGTAACACTTTAAGGTAAATTCGAGACAATCAGACTCATTGTTTAAAAGAACTGGTTTTAAGAGAAACCCCTGGAGCTGCAAGCAAAAAGTCAAATACTAATTATTATAATGTTCAAATAAAAGTATTCAAAACTATGTTATGTAAATGTTTTGTTTACGTAACTTTTTTACGTCAAAAAAAAAGAAAATTATTTGTACAGTTTTCTCACAAATATATGAAGTATGTTCTAGTCGTTGTTTCAATAAGCATTTAAATTATATTATCATACTTTGCTAGCTACATGAAGAGACCGGACCTAGAAAAATTATTTATGCAATTGTAAAGCACGATTGAGACATTCAGCAGCAATATGCATTTTGGTAAATTTGGAAAGTCATCGCTCAAAAACTAGAGAGCTAATAATTTGAAATATTCCATTAGATCAACAATTACAGAAATATTAGAAAGGTTGTAAACTAAAGGAATTGTTTAAAAATATAATTTTTTTTTATTTGTACAACCAACAACACACAACAGTAACGATTTGATCTTTTTGTTTTAATATACGACATTGCATCCATCGATATTTTAAAGCTGTAACAACAACAGAATTTTTCGTGATGCAATCAACAGACTTTTCTCCTTAGCACCTTTTTCCACAAGAAATACTTATCTGAAACAGCGCACGAAACAATCGTACGTCCAAATAGTTAAAACTAGATGTTTTTCCTTTAAATGTGTAGTCCCGCTTCTTAAGAGTCTACTTTTGTATAAAAATACATTTTTAACGTTATAAATACCTAATTCATTACCAAACTTAAAAATAAAATGGTCTATTTAGCGTGGCTATGCATAAGCGTACTCGCTTTTGCGACATCGCATTTCAAATTGACTGCCAACAGATGGCGTTTTCAGCGCTAGTTATCTAGCGTATAAGAATATTACTGTGCAGAACAAGAACACAAAAGAATTAAGGTTGGTAAGTTCTATGGATCCCAATGTAGTGTTATTAGTCAATGTTATACTAGTTTATGAAGTTGCCTGTAAGCGCGCCAGATTACCTGGTGATAGGCCTTTATGTTATTAATTATTGTTATATTAGTGAATAAAGTAGTAAGTAAGTGCTCCAGATTATCAGGTAGTATCCGTTTTTGTTATTATTAATATTAAATTAATTTTCAACAAGTTCAGTCAGTGCCCCAGGTTACCTGGCCATACACTCTAGGGTCATTATTTTTGTCTTATTAATTTTTTAAGTGGTTTGTCAGCATCTTAAGTCACCTGTTGATGGGTGCTTGTGTTATTATTGATTTATGTCAATAATAAAGTGGCCAGCTCGTAAGTTCTCTAGGTCAACTGATGATAGGCACTTAATATGTCATTGATTTTTGTTTCATTAACTAACGAAGTGGCCAGTAAGCCCTTTATGTTAGCTGGTAATTGACGCTTGTGTCATTAGTTTTAAGGTTATTAATTTATAAAGTAGCTTCTAAGTACTTGAGATCACCTGGTCATAGGTGCTCGTGTAATTAATTAATGTTTCATTAGTAGATGAAGTAGCTAGGAAGTGCCTTAGGTCATTTGGCAGTAGGTACTTACGTTATTTCTTCAAAAGCTTTGAACTTTGCGCTTGGTTGGGTACCGGTTTTGGAAGCAATGCATCGATCGATATCAAGAAATTTAGATATTTTAAATCAGAAAATGATGATTGAGAAATCCTCGAACTTTTTTCTAAACTACAGTTTAGCATCAAGTATGTAACAAAGCGTTGAAATACTGGGTGTGAATAAATCATACATTGTTTATTTGTGCTCTCGAAGTCCAACTTTTGGAATGGGAACTACATAATAGCATAGTCACTGAGGTACGGGGAGGGGGCGACATGCTATAGTTCTCACGTACTACTTAATTATGAACGGAAAAGTGCCTTTTGGAGAAAAAATTATGCTTTTAGATGAAGATTTACGGCAACTTCTCCCAATTTAAAATATTAGAATTTGAAGTGAAATTTCTAAATAATCTATAATGTATACTTAAAAGTAGTGTCATTTTTCTAAATTTCAAGTGAGAACAAATATGAGGATATTACAGTAAGAAATATAATTGGCTTGTTTTTCATTAAATGTAGGCAATGGTACTTTAAATGGCCAGAATGATAGTATTTAACTAATTTAAATATTCATTTTCATCCAAGTACTCAACGATGAATGAGATCCGTAATATAAGTAGAGTACTATTTATAGTTTTATAATACAGCATACAGTCAACACGATCTCCAGGAAGTGGAATATTAAGCTTTTTGTCATAAATTTCAAAAAGCTAATCATAAGCAAGGTTAGAGAACACAATGACCAATGAGTTAGAAATTACAGAGGTATACTATTTATAGTATCATGTTTAAGCCACAGTTGGCTTAGGATACAGTAAGCATGAGCTCCATGATATCGATAAAAAATTTATCTTAAATTTATGTCTACAAGTACTTAAGATGAATGACCCAATTACCGTTTTTTTATTTTAACATACTAGTAAAAAATAATCGATAACACAGCTCCAAAAAAAGGAAATTGTCGTTCAGACTGTACTGCACTTTACTCATATATTCTTGCCTGTTGAATCCAAATATAGCTTTAAAATGAACCTATAACCCTTTAGTTTTTTCGTATATGCCGAAAAGACCCTAGGATCACGAAATGTAAGCTTATCTTTTGAAAAAAATACAATAGACTATATTTCACTACTTTTGTGCATGTTCAGACGTTTAATTTAACTGTTATTTCAAAATGAACCTGGCTTTTTTTAGCTTTTCGTAAGATGCCAAAAAGTCTCTAGAATCAAGTGAAATTGGTAATTTATCTTACCTTAAAAAAAAAACCAACCACAATGGACTGTGTTTCTTAACGTTTGCGTGCATGTGGTCTTTTTATAAAATTATTATTTTACATTAAACTCAAATTTTGAGTTTTCCTCCAGAAGCTTAAAAGTCCCTAGAATCCAATAAAATCAAATTTTTTAGCATATCTTAAAAAATGACATTGGACTATATTTCACTACTTTTTTGTATATTTGGCTGTGAAATCGGATTCTGGTTTTTGAATGTGTTGGATCAGGCTTCAGAGTATTTAGTCCGATTTTTTATACCATTATCGGCCAGCTTGCCAAAGTCCATGTACAGCCTTTTTTAAGTTGACAAACCACGTTCGTTTTTGCATGAGAACAGCTCTACGAAGCAGGTCCAGCTCACTCTTGGTAACTATTATTTTTTTGAGCGTGCTTGGCAAAAAGTCTGACATTTTCATTTATACCTCAGTATGGATGTCTCCGTTTAGGTAGGCTGTAGCTATATCGAGTTGTGATACCTTAAGGTTATACTTGACTGAGAGTGCCATCAGCAGACGCAAAAATTCCATCCTTGCAACGGGAGCAAAAGTTTCCATGAAATATATTCTCAGTTTCTGGCTAAAACCCTGCGCTACGACTCTTGCTTTTCTACGAGCCAGTGAGCTGTATGCTGCATATTTATTTCTCAAAACGGTCCTACATCCCAACATTTTAACATCCTTTGGTTTCTTGACCATATTCCAAGTATTATTTTCAATAAGACTTCTTGCCTCTTTATATATAGTATCTATCCACTTATCGACGTCTGAACTCTTCATGGCAACGCTCATTGTGACTTCTGGAGCTATCATTGCGATGCACCCTTCTGTTGTATTTTTCGAGTTGCCTGATGCTGAATCGTTGAGGTTGGAGTATTGTCTATTCCAGCGTTCTGCGTTCTGCGTGTCGCTCTGGTGAGTCAACTGTATTCGTCTCGCAACCAGCCGGTATCCAAACTTTCATCGATCTCGTGCGACAAGGAATCGTGTACAGAGTCCTCATTTCGATCTTCATTCTGATGATCATATGCGGATGGTAGCCTCTCGTTGACTAAACTCTCACGCCAAAAACAACGAAAGACATCTCGTCGTCTTCCTCGTCAGCCTGCCTGGGGGTTTCTTCTTCGGCTACTGATTTATTATTAAGGGAAACATGATCGATGCTCCAGAAATTCTCCACGCTTTCATGTTCTCTTTTGTAGAGTAAAAATCTTTATATTTTCAATTTAATTCGAAGGTCAACAAGAATTCAATGTCTTTGGAAACTCGAACTTTTCGTTCACTTGGCACGTGGACTTAATATATTTTTGATGTATAAGTATATCTGATGAAAGGACCTTCGACTCCTCTTGCATCGAATTTTCTTTTAGTTGGATTTTTATCTAAGGTGTAAGCTTTTGATCCGAATGGTTGCAAATGAGCAATATTTGGTCGATTGCCCGTGCAAAGCTCATACTGCATGCCACGCCCAATAAATTTGGTTGTACATCGATTTCACACATAGTTTGTGGCAGAAATAGCCTTTTCCAGAGAGAGGGGGTAAGCCAGACTTGATCAATCTCGATCTCTTATATTCCAAGAACTTTTCCGTAGCTTCGCTCTTGTTCTTCATAAAATAAACACAACACCAACGGCTTTTATCGTCAATGGAAGTTATAAAGTAGCGAGCACCTTCCAAAGATACAACTCTTGCATGGCCAGCTACATCTGTGTGCACGATGTCGAATAATTCCTCAGTGTTGCTTTCTCGCTTGGAGAACGGGGTTTTAGTCATTTTTCCCGTTAGACATATTCCGCAAGACTTGCTATTGCTAGACAGCTTATATGCAAAACTATCCATGCTCTCACTTTCCGCCATTTGCTACATATCTCTTGTGTTTGAGCGTAAGACGGTTGTGCCCAGTGCTCTCGACTGCGGCAGAAAATGAACTTTGACTGTTCGGTGACCGTCCCTAAAAGCGACGCTCAGCGTCACCTCCCAATTGATATTTGACAGCGCGAAATTTGAAACCTTATAGTATGAGTCTCAATCGAGCTCCATAGGTATATATTATTGCTCCTACATGAGTTTTACAATAAATATCTTTATTATTTGTTAGAAAGTAGTTTTAAAGATGCGAGTGNGAAGGTTATATATATACAAACGCTTTAACTATAGGTAACTTTCCGCAAAAAATTATGTACGGATACTGTGGCAGTCCAAGAGTCTGAAGCCACAGCTCGTGCGCTTCAACGTCCTTTATTCTATCTCTGGAATCCTAAAATGTTATAGAAATATTAGAAATATCTGTTGTACACTTAAAAATTTTTTTTTAAGATTCTTAATGATTAGGAAACTTAAAAAATTTGTATGACCTACCTCGATGTATTGCACAAAACATTTTGAAATCTCATACTTTGTTAAGATTTTTGATGTGGTACCTATTTTTATTTTACGTGACACTTGAGGACTTAACCAAATCAAAAATATTGCCAGTAGACTATCGCATTTACCTAGGCACAAAAAATTGATTTTACAAATTCAATTTATCCTTAAATCAATATATATTAATTATAAACAAACCTAAAAGAACTTATTCATTATAAGTCTTGAAAAAATTTTTTATTCCGTTGGATTTACTTGCCCTCAGATTCTGGACTATTTATAAAGCAAACTCCGGCCAACTGCTCCCTCAATTTTAGCCTCAAAATCAGCTTGTAGCAAATATAAAAATTATAATGAGAAAAAAAATGTGATCTGATGGGTACGCATTTGAAAAATTACGTAGCAAGAGCAGTTTTTTAAAAATTACCAAAATAATTTGCCAAAGCTCCTTGCAAACATGGAAAGCTAGTAAAATATTCATGCAAAATGATAGGTGTCCTTTTTTCCCCCTGTAAGGAGCAAAACACGATGGGGTCTGAGTTCTTTTTACTTAATCATAACTTTACTATCTTTATACGAAGCTCTGTTGACTTCAGTCAAACATTTTCATCCTCCAAATAATCGGTTGTATTCAACTCTTTATCGTGACCCAAAGTGTAACCAGCAGACTTCATATCGATAGTGCTTACACAAATACCCTCTAGATCCAACAATTACTTTCAAATCTGTTGTGTAGGGTGTCTCAAATATAACAGCATCAATCTCAGTTTTAATAATTTTTAGATATCACACGAAGGAAGAATGCGCCCGCCTGTGCGTTCAGTATTTCAACATCACCCATATTATATGTGCTCCGCATATCATTTAGTGTTGATTATCATGAACCTGACTCAGATACGTCAAACTAAATTTTGTTTTTTTAGTGTAACGCAGTATACGAAATAGATAAATCATTAACATGTTATAAATAATTATATCTGCAGTAGTTTTATAAACAATCAAATCACGTAAGGCCCGTTTAACGTAAATAGGATGTACACAACTTATGAATAAAAAATTCAAAACGTAATGGATCGTAACAATTATATTAAATACGGTGCAGAAATATAATGTTGTTTATTCATTAAAATTGAGAATAGTGCGAGACGAAGCTGCAGTTTGTTTACTTTGAGTAAGATTTGTTTTCCTGTATTTTTTAAAGCATATGCGTGAACATAATAATCAAAGTCTAGTTCTTTATAAGCATGAAAATTAAGAATTACATCAGTTTCTTCGGAAACAATTTCTAAAATCTCGCCAAATTAGGCTTCGCGGTGTTCTAAGAAGCCCAAGAGTAGAGACATACCAACTTTATAGTAAATATTATTATTAACAGCTACATGTTTATAAAATATATGAAAACTTTTGTTTTCAGTGATATTAAATTTATCTTATTTATAGAATAAGAGGGACCTAATTCTACTTTTGACAATACTTTCAAGAAATGAGCCAAATACAGCAGTCTTAATGACATATTCCTTGTTATTGTGCTTACTAGCTTTGTGTTGATTCTGCGATAGTTTTTATTAGTTGATGGGCCGATTCAAACTGCATTTTTTAAAACTGTACAGCAGGACCATTATAAAGTAAAATTGTCAGATAATGAATCAAAAAGTGCATTTTAGATTTCAAAGGCCCGTAGAATTTCAAGTAAGAAGATTTTAATTTTTAAATTAAATTGTATAAAATTTTTAAAGCAGCCTATAGCAGTAAAATATCCATTATTCTCCGCAAATAGAAATATAGTTTATAATGGTGATCATATTCTTTTAGTTTATCTCCAATGAGCCAACCAAAGTTATTAATAAGCCATAACATTTCAGAAGCTGAAATTTTAAGATCATTACGCTCTAATTCAAGATTCGGAAAAATTTTGTTAGGCTTGTTAGCGGTTGCTTTTTAACAATCGAATTTCGCTATTCTCGCATTCAAGAGCTGTAAAATCCTCATCATAGTTTTCTCGCGCTCTTAATTTATCATCCTACTGAACGCACAGGCGGGCGCATTCTTCCTTGGAACATTTGTAAACTCTACAAAAATAGTGGCTCACAAATGATTCATTGAATTCAAGAACTGAATTGAAACCTAAATTATCACGTACTACTAAANTTTAAAACTGTATATAACTTTCATATTATGTATTATTTCATGTGACAGGAATCATTAAAAAGAAGAGACAAGCATATGGCTCCTACAAGACTAACCAGTCACCTCGGTTCATCGACATACTGAAGTTTAAAGTAAGTTATGGAGCTCATCGAATAAACCAATATTATGGGTGGTAAATTTGTACCTACATAAAGATACGTTTGAAGAGCCTTTTCATCCTGACATAAAATGTTAAACTACTTTGTAAGCTTGTAAAACAATTTTTTTAGTAATATTTATTTATTTATTTTCACTTTACATTAAATAATTTTTGCTAATTATTAATTGTTTCAGCTTCCACTACGTATTTGGGCAGAAGAAGCAGATTATTTCTCAAAAATCGAGATAATCACTTGGTAGGTTCTTTTAATTTGTCTCTATTCCACTTAAAATTAATTTTTTCATCATTTGTTTGCTACACCTTTTTTAATGATTTTGTTTTTACTTCATTTTTAGGTATGTCTGTAAACCACGAAAATCTCTAAGATAACACTACTAAATGTTTCTTTATCTATTATATTATTATTGGGTGTAATTAATAAAGTTGGATTTAATTTTCTATTTTATAGACACTAATTTTACTATTAATAAATTAATATTACATTTTACTATATTTATTTAAAGTACAAAGCTATAATAATGAGTGGTTATCAGAGCTACTACTATTGCTGTAAGTTACAAAATACTTTGAATTTTACCAGACTCCGATGCCATACTTAAAATTAATTGCCTTATCTTGTATCGTTTTTGGACAATGTCATGGTGATCGAACCAATTCGAGAGTGTAGGAATTTCAATAAAATTACAAATAGGATCCTGTAATATATACATATATATACATGTATATACACATATAACGATTGTCATCACTGTTAATTGCATTGATGTATTAAATTTATAAAACATTACCTTGTAAAAGTACTCAGCACAGTTCAATAGGTACATTCCACAATCAGTAGTGTTAGGTTGTTGAGGAACTTCCACGTTGTATGTTTTCATACTTTCTTTATTAAAAATACTGTAATTATGACCTGTTTCTTTTCTGTACTCCTCATTTAAATAATTAAGTACAGTTTTCGTAGCAGGTTTTGAATCGAAATTTTGTAAAGAGTTGAAAATTAGAATACAGGGTCTGTAAAACAATAATTGTGTTGGCATTAAAAAAAAAAGATTATATTATTTAAATAATCAGCATGCAGATCATGTTTTATATAATTCTATTAAGTTTTAATGTATGCATTGGTCTGTATTATGTTGGAAAGCAAATAAATATAAATAAATTGGCAAATTGGAATAATAATACAATCTATATTTCCCGTTCAAAAAAGATTTAGTCTTACACTTAGATTATTGTCATCATCAATAGCTACTTAAAATACAATAACTTTTTTATTGCCCCACAAAATTGCATATGATATTTTAAAGACACAACTTGGATCTAATGCAATTCCGTTTTTTGTTATCATTTTAATTTGATATTGATTTTTATTCATTCAATATATATTTAAAATTTTGATTTTAAATTTAATATTTTTGAACTTTTGATAACTTTTTTTTTTACATGAATTTTATTCAGATAAACACAGTTACGTACCTTCGTATTTCCTGCTTTGCGCTCGTATCGTTGTTTATTTTCAACCTTATTAATGGACTCTGTATGCTCGATTGTTGCACCATACCAGGAAAACAAACAATCACAAGATACCAGTGAAAACTAAAATTATAAATAATATTCTAGGCTTCCAAATGGTACAAGCGGATGATGATTATTCATTATAAACCAAAATTATTTTAAAAATGGTTTCTACACTATCTTTATGATGAGAATTAAATAATTATTTTACAAAAGAATTTTGTCTAACAGCTTCATAAACTACAAAACTAAACTATGATACTCATTAACATTCGAAATAATAAGATAAATACTTACTTTTCATTAACGGGCAAAAGTAAAAAATCTTTTTTGAATATACTCATTTTTTGTTGAGTCATTTTTCTTGATGTCTCTATTTTTTTCGATTGCTGGCTTTTTAACCAGGTATAGAAAAAAGAATCGTAAATAATACTTTGCATGCGCTGCTTCTCGCTAATTATATCATTGTAGAGATATAACAAATAAAAGTTGATAATAATATCGTTCATATATAAATTTTCACTGAGACAGTTCAGGTGTGTTCTACGAATGGAAATATTACTTTTTTTTGGTGGTAAGGGATACATCAATAATCTGCAAATAAAATGTCATCATAACACACACACATATATATATATTGCACAGTCAATCTAAATATTTGAAATACTTACATGTCACTACTCATAGAATTCAAAGGTTGTTGACTAGTTGATTCTTTATGTACGTTCTTATTGGATAAAATTTCGTTGGAGAGGCTTTGCGATACATTCTAACATTAAATGACATAAAATTAATGCATAATATACTTTCAATGGACAATTTATAACTTACTAATGCGATATTATTTATCCAAATAGTGGGTGTAGTTATTTTTTCAACGTGTTCTGGCAATATATTTTTACATCGAAGACAGTAACTAAGATCTGCGGAACTTGATTTGCAAAATGGGCATACAGCTAGCACTCCCTTCTCATAAATAGACTTCTACGTAATATTGTTTATTATTATTAGTGTGACGATGCCTGAAGATTAACGTCTTTGATAGTTATATAATGAATAGTATTACGTACTTTTGATGATCTTCCGCTACGAGACGATCTGTTCGATGCCTTCTGTGATAATGATGGTGTTTCTCCGAAAGATGAAATGAGTGAAACGGCATACGATCCTTCCCTCAAACTATCAGTCGCGAAATTATATTGATTAACTGGTTTGAAGTACCGTAGCGCCACGTTGCGTTAATATTTTGAAAAATGACATATAATAGTGGACCAAACGTGTAAACTATTGTTCAGTAGTTTCATTAACTTTGTACAACTATATTTTTAATTCATTATGATTCTTTTTATATTTTTTACTTAAGAACTTATGAGAAATTCACATTTTTTACTACAATATTTTTTTTTTTTTTT